CCCCAAGCTCACCTCCCACCCAAACTTTAGGTGGAGGAAGTCCCTCAACGGGGTGGACCACACCTGCCCACTGAGGCTCTGGTGGGACCCAGGCAGCGCGAGCAACCCTCCCTCAGGGTGTCCAGCACCCAGCCCTCAGCCACCCGCTGCGCGTCCAGGGCTTACTTTAATCTATTATTAAAAAATAAAAATAAAAAAAAGTTTTCCTGAGCTCAAGGAACTCCTTCCACAGAACTGCCTGGAGCCATTAAAAAAAAAATCAGTCAGGATGGTTTCTCAAACAATGAGCGTTTGTTCAGAGAGGAGGAAGATATGTAATAGCACCATCTGGTGACACTTAGCCTCAGCGATAGTCCTTCCCGCCCAAAAGGCAGAAAATGGAAGTTTTAATAGGAGAGATACATTTGGGTCATTTGTTGTAATATTTTTATTAATGAAAGCAATCAATTATGGATGTTAATATGTTTCAGTAAAATGTATAGGAGCGTTGAAAAAAAGAACCAAAATGCTAGGTCTATTAAATGTAACTTTATAGTTAAAATGTTCTGTTTTTCCCTGGGGCTTCTAGTAACAATTAGAACAAACAGGATCAACCAATCCTTACAACTGCCTCAGTATTTTCACAGATATGAAAAAACAAAAAAAAAATCTAAATGTGCCTAACAATTCATGTTAACTTTCGCAGGAACAATATTCAGGAAAACTTTCCAGCGTTCAGATAACAACAACAATTTTTTTTTAGCATAGTTACTTGTACTAAGACTTCTGCACAGGAGATAATATACTTTACCTGAGGTGGCTGGTCTACAGAGTTTAAAAGCAACATTAATAATCAAGTCAAGGCCCATGTCTGTTAGAAAAGACAAACTGAGTTCCTAGTTCCTGCTCCAGAAGAGTGGATGTGATTTATTCCAGGAAACATGTCTGTTTTCTGTAAGGCATGGATGTGTGGTGTCTGAATTGTATCTGTAATGACTAGGATTCTTTGCTTTCTCTCTCTACAGCAAAAGATTTTGAGATACTAACTTGTTTATTGCACTAGCATCCAATTAACTCATTTTTCTTCCTCTTTTCCTTCACAGTTTTGCTTCAGACGCATATAAAAGATGCATGAGCAACAAAACAAAGATTCTCTCTTTCTTTTTAAGTTAGAGATATTCAGAGAGAGCCTTAAAATGTGTCATACTCTGATCCAAACATCATTCACAGACTTTGGATATTTTTGCCCATTGGTAAAGTGAAGTCCCTAAGTCAGTGTCTTGACTGCCAAATTCATATGACTTTGATCTCAGGCTATCACAACTCCAATCACTATTATTCTTGTCCTGAGTAGTTTTGGTTTGTACTAAATAGAGATGGAGTTCCCCATGTTTGCTTTCTATGACCCCCTCTTACATTTCAGCGCTAATGAAAAAAAGCAGCTCTGTGCAAGTCTTGTCTCCCCTTGAAATGCCACAAAAGTAGCTATTTTTGCTTCATTCTTTGCTTAATAAAGTATAATACGCTTGATGTTACACTTTATGAAGTTCAGTAAGCCCTGGGAGTAGAAAGAATACCATGCAGGGAGTTGATATGTCGCTTGTAATTTCTTGCCAAATAGCCTTGCAGTGACACAAAACTTAAGCATGAACTCTTGCTAGAAATTGTTCACAGATGAGAACCTTGGATTTGATAGAACAGGAATAAGTTTGATCTTTATTTTGAAGTCTTTATTTTGAAGACTTTTAATATCAACAATGCCCAACCATTATCAAGGAAATCAGCTACTAATGTTTAAAAGCATCTCACTGCTTCAATATAGGTAATTGAGTTGAGTATTTTAATCATGCTATTACTGAGGAATGAAATATATTTTGTGCCTGTTAGCTGAAGATAAGAAAAAAGATGCTTTGTAGTCAGCTCTAAATGTGGCTCTTTACATCAGATTTTCCCTCCAAGAAAGCTTATGTCCTCAATTATTTTATGTATTATATGATTCTCTCTGTTTTCCAGGGAAAAGAGCTCTGACTCTACTGTCCCATTTAATCTGAATGCATTAGGCAAAAGAACAGAATTTCTCCATTATAGTCAAAGCTTTCTTTCTAGCGATTGCTGAACTAGCCACACCAATTGTCTGCCTTATGGAACTAACCTGGTGGGCTGGGAATCAGAGAGAATGCCTCCGACTGTAGCGGGAGGCATTGCTTATCTTATAAGGGACAACTTTCTCAAAGAAGCCATCACCTGAACTACCAGTCTTGTTCCCCAAATCCCCCTTCCCTTTCTTCAGTTACTTATTAAATCACTCTTTCTTCAACAGGAAGCCCGCGAAACCCCTGTTCACACTGAACACAGGATTGTTCATATTTAGAGTATTTATTGTGGCAAAACAATTCACAGATTTCCTTTAGAAGACTTTTTTCCATGTTTAGGAACAGATGAACTCTACAGGAAGAAAGGGAAAATCATCTATCATGTTGGAAAGAACACTGAATAAGGGCACATTCAAAGTTCAAACAGTCTTTTAAATAGTTTTATCTCAAAAAGTATCATTAGTTTAATTCAGCTTCTCTAGTTTGTAAAGGTCTACAGAATCAATGAAAATATATTTAGCCTACCTTTAGAAAGAGAAGTCTCCAGTATTAATTGGTAATAATAATAAAATCATATGCAAGACAAAAATATTAGGATCTAGCATGCTTGTCCTTTACAAGTTCTATTCCAAAATTATATTACATATATTAATTTCAACTTTGTAAATGTTGCATAATCTAAAGTCTTTGAGTAGGCAGTCAGTGATTAAAAAAAACAATTAAGAAATCAGACAACCTTTCTGTATTGTGAATGCTATTAATTTCAAATCTTACTTGCTAGTAAAGTGCTGTTACAAGCAAAATGAAATCATTAGTGTCTATTGAAAGCAGATGACATTTTAGTAATATTCAAATTGTATTTGTTTTGGCAAATAGTTAAAACCTTAGACATGTTTGTTTAACCATCCAAAACTAATTCAGTATAAATAATATTAATTTCCAATAATTCTATGCTAAAAGGCACATACTAATGTTCCAGCAGTTTGTTCAAGTGAGCTTTTGCATGTAAAGGTTTAATTGTGCTTTTAAATAGTTACTGATTCAGTAGGACCTTGAAAGTGACATTTGTGCATGTCTAAAATACCTTTTCACAAATGGATCTCACACTCTGAAGGTGTTATTCTGTTATGATTAAGGTTACATATATCTATATAACTATGCATATTGATCTCTATAGATCTACATAGATGTACACATATACATATATTCATACATACACACACAGAAAGAAGTCTTCTGGAACAGCAGCAGAAAGTGCAGTCTATATTTTTTTTTGAATTTGCTTCATAATATAAAGTTTCATAATCGTCAATGAAGTTTCAGAAATGAATTGTCTTGGGATTTGTAAGATCCAGGGCGTTATTTGTGATAATGCCTGTGTCCCATATTATTCTCTTTCCTTACTGGCTGTTTCAAGCTCACTTCACTTCCAGAAGAGATGATTGGCAAATTATTTTCCATGTGATACTGAATAAGATGGCCCACGCTATCAAATATATGGTCTTTGGTTCTCACCTAGTGAAAGAAGCAAAAGAATATATTTAAAGTTATATCATGGTTAAAACTGGTGGGGCATGAGCCTAACCCATTAAGGTCAAAAGGCATTTAAGCCACTGCTGGAGTGGGATCAATATATATATATATTACTCTATGCAGTAATACATACCTATCCTTTAACCCAGTGTTAGCTGACGTGTGGAACGTGAAAAATTGAAGGACCAAGTTAAGAGGATGTATGCCCAATAAGAATTACTTTTCTGATTTACTGTCTCCTCTGAGAAATGTCACTCGAGAATGCTCTTCTAGCAGCAGAGCAGAAGCAGCTGAGCAGAAGCAGGTAGAACTCAAGTGACATCAAACCAGCTCTCCCTTTTCTGTATCCAGAAGTGTGTTACTGATCAACTTTGTTATTTGATGTTAGGGTTATTTTTTCTAGCAGTATAATAACAACTCAAAGGATTCATTACGTGTACATCTATTTACACTAATTACCAGCATCTTGACTCGCAAAAATAAATGTAAGTTCCTCACTTCTATTTCCATGGTACTTAAGTGCTTATAAGTTCTTGAAATGAAATTTAAACCTGTATCTTAACCAGCATAGAATCAGATCAGTTCTGTGGAATCATTTTAACTGAAACATCTGAGCAACTCTTGACATTTCAGCATGTGAAATGCTCATACCTTGCCCTCAGGATCCACCAACAGGAGATGCTTTGCCTGCCCTCCCTGAAGTCCACTGAGGACATACTGACCAGGTGACGTTGTGCTCTCTCGCACCAAAAAATCTCCATCGTTGACTAGGAGGCTCTCTGCTGCTTTCCTGTTTAATTTGCCATGGTAACAATCTTCATTCTTTAGCTGTTGTTTTATCTGTGGCATAATACAGAGACCGGCTGTGTGGCTTGCAGCACTCTGCTGAACAGTTTCCGGTAATCCTAAAATTAAATGAAAGAGAACATATTGGACACTTTACCTAGAACTTCATCCTAAAAGGAAGTGATACAATATTTTTATAGCTGTTAGCCTTCTGAAGAATTCAGATGATTCAGTCTTGACGCTGTGAATAAAGTGGCCTTACAGGCTGTAATAATATGCACACATGAATGCTCCCAGCACTCCAGTGCATTAGGTAAAATTATCATTCATCTCCTCCCCATACCTTAGATGGGAAAACCTTGGGTTGCTAGGCAACAGGAATTTAAATCAATTATAGTTTTTTTCTAATGTTCTGCTGTTTTGGTTTTATATTTCTTTGGTTGTATTAAAAAAATCAAGACTTCCCCGTAAAAACAAAATTTTAGTTGTTTTTTAGCCACAATACATTTTTTAAAGATCTAGTTTTTCCTTCTTCCTTAACAAGCTCTGAAGAGATTGTCACATCTAATTGGGAGAATCATGTTGAATGACTCCAGCTATGTGCGGGAATGTAAGACAACATGGCCAATGTAGCCAGAAGGGAAGATTACAGCATGATGCATCTGCTGTGAAAAAATGAAAAATTACTGCGTGTACTAACAAAACTGGGTGGCTTGGGATGTAGCCAGTCAGACTGCAAATGATTCACAGGCAGGATTTCTCTAAGGAAAATAAGAGGATACCAATTCTTCAATTGAGTTGTGCAACTTAAGGATCCTCAGGGTATAGCTAGTTCCTTTTAGAGCATAATGCAGCCCCAGATTTGAAATGTCTCAATGGCCACAGATTTCCTTTACTTTAAATATGTCCAGTCCTTAGCCCACCTTTTTGTACGAAGCCAACCTTGACAGAAAAAGCACTCAGTGGGAATCCAGAAAAGGTGAAGATTAACAAACAGACTGAAGTGTTTTCAGTAATGAAGACGATCAGCAACAATTATATAGACACCTAAAGGATATCCACTGCTTTGAGTGTTTAAATCAAGACTTAATTTAATGCATATTTAAAAGATACTACAGATCAAACAGCTTGATTTAGAAATTATTGGCCTAGATTAAATGGTCACTGTTATGCAAGAACTGATAAAAGATTATTATAACAATTCCACTTCGACCTCACGTGCTGTTGCCTGTGAAGCAAAGGCATCTGAGGTCACTTCCAGTTCAGAATGGGGGAGATATGAGTGAGACAATAGCCCTCATCCTTGAGTCAGTCCCAAGCTTTCATAACGTCTTACAGATTTGCCTCTTATTACCTGTGGAAAATGTGACACTATTTCTTGTTATCATCAACTGCAGAAGATGAAAGGTGATTCTACTTGCTCACTGTCAGTATTTCTAATCTTTAATCCACTTTATCTTGAATTTAGTAATCTAAAAACCAACCAGGAAGAGTTTTTCCCTTTCTTCTATATTTCTTATTAGGAAAGCAAAATTTTTCTCCATGCATACAACTGACAAGATTCCTCATTTCAAAGCTTACAAAAGCATGGTATTGCAATGTGAACCTACTCGCATGGTGCGGTGGGCTCCTATGGGTCTGTGTTGTTGCTGTACCGCGGGCTGTACACACTGTGGAGTGCAGGGTCTGTGTGTTGATGTAACATGGATCATCAAAAAGATCTACTTTGTAGGCAGGCTTCAACAACGTTGTATCTTTTTTTGTCTTCTGTGATCTCTCACCGCTATTACCTGCAATGAATATATAGTATGCACAGAGTTCCTTTTCTTTTCTTGAGCTCAAGTAGCTACACAAGCTGAAATAGAAATATTGTTCTTATATATCCCACTAAAATTATTCAAAAGGAAAAGAAAAATTGGCTGATGAACTAGTTTTTCCTAATGGCTAGAAGGCACAGAATCACAGAACGGTTGAGGGTGGAAGGGACCTCTGGAGATCATCTAGTCCAACTCCCCCTACTCAAGCAGGGTCACCTAGGTCACCAGGATCATGTCCAGATGTCTTCTGAATATCTCCAAGGAAGGAGACTCCACAGCCTCTCTGGGCAACCTGGTCCAGTGCTCAGCCACCCTCACAGGAAAGAAGTTTTTCCTCATGTTCAGATGGAACTTCCCGTGGTTCAGTTTGTGCCCGTTGCCTCTCGTCCTATCGCTGGGCACCAATAGGAAGAGTCTGGCCCCATCCTCTTGACACCCTCCCTTCAAATACTTATACTCATTGATCCCCCCTCAATATTCTCTTCTCCAGGCTAAGCAGGCCCAGCTCTCTCAGCCTTTCCTCATACTAGAGATGCTCCAGTTCCTTAACCATCTTAGCAGCCCTTCAACTCGCTCCAGGTCTCTCTTGTACTGGGGAACCCAGAACTGGACATAGTACTCCAGGTGAGGCCTCACCAGGGCTGAGTAGAGGGGCAGGATCACCTCCCTCGACCTGCTGCCAACACTCTGCCTAATGCACCCCAGGATCCCATCGGCCTTCTTGGCCACCAGGCCACACTGCTGGCTCTCATGGTTAACTTGGTGCTCACCAGGACTCCCAGGTCCTTCTCTGCAGAGCTACTTTGCAGCAGGTCAACCCCCAGCCTGTCCTGTTGCATGGGATTATTCCTCCCCAGGGGCAGGACCCTGCACTTGTCTGTCTTTGTTGAATTTCATGAGGTTCCTCTCTGCCTCCCTCTAGCCTGTCCAGGTCCCTCTGAATGGCAGCCCAGCCTTCTGGTGTGTCAGCCACTCCTCCCAGGTTAGTATCATCAGCAAACTTGCTGAGGGGGCACTCTGTCCCTTCCTCCAGGTCATTGATGAATATATGGAACAAGACTGGTCCCAGGACTGACCCCTGGGGGACACCACTAGCCACAGGCCTCCAACTAGACCCTGCGCCATTCACCACAACCCTCTGCGCTCGGCCATCCAGCCAGTTCTCAATCCCCCTCACCGTCCACTCATCCAGCCCATGCTTCCTGAGCTTGCCTATGAGGATGTGATGGGAGACAGTGTCAAAAGCCTTGCTGACATCCAGGTAGACAACATCCACTGCTCTCCCCTTATCTACCCAGCCAATCATCCCATCATAGAAGGCTATCAGATGGGTCAAGCATGATCTCCCTTCGGTGAATCCATGCTGACTACTCCTGATCACCTTCTTGTCCTCCACGTGCTTAGAGATGGCCTCCAGGATGAGCTGCTCCACTATCCTAAATGGGTTAGAATGAATTTTTCAAAAGTGTTCCACACTGGTTCAGCTCTTCTCCACTTACTGTCAGTACTGAAACTGCCACTGATTGAAAAGAAATTAATAAGTATGCCTCTAACAGAGGCACAAGCTGTATCCACTGCTTGGTGCAAAAACCCTTCCATTTCCCCCAGCATCCCCCTGCACCCAGGAAGAGCAAGGAAGATGGAAGAGGTGCTTTGCATCTCTGCCTGGGGAGCCAAAGCCACATCTGGCAGGTTCGGATCCTAGCCTAGAAAAAGGCTAACGGAATATCCCCTGCAGTCTATGAACATAATACTGTTTCAGCTAGCCAAATAGCACACATTTTTGCTCTTTAGCAAACATTTTATTCATAGATCTATTCATTCATTCTGTTATTTATTCACCCATTCTTTGTAGAAACCATTTAATTCTCCTTCCCTTAAATCAGAAATAGCACAAGAAACAGAACTATCCCCTGTAGACCCTGTAACAGAACCCTTCAGCAGTGTGAGTGGGAATTCAAAAAGGACCTCACTACACAGTGAAAGAGAGGAGCTGAGGAAACACGCTTAGGGCAGCAGCTCTGGCAAGGGACATCCAGAAAGGGCTGAAGGCTGGCGATCTCAAGGGGCAGCCGAGAGCAGGTTTCGCTCACATGAAACTGAGGTGGGCACAAAACCTGTGAGCAAAGGGAAGGAGCACAGCCCAGCAGGTGCCAGCACCCCTGCAGCCACGGCCACTGGCTCCACTGGAACAGCAGTGGCATGCCGATAGTTTGGGTCCCCCAAAGTATTTGTAGGGGGAATGGATATTTTCAGAGATTGTTAAGAGAGAAGTATTTTCTTTCTTCAAAGGGTATGAAAGGGAATAAAACAACAAAGGGTATAAAAGGGAATAAAACAACAAAGAACTACTGTAAAGTATCATGACAAGTAAAATGAGCAAGTCTGCCTGCAGACATGAAGACAGATTAGTGCCCTTTTGAAAAGCTGTAAGGCCTTTTTGTCTGTCTTCTATCTAGGGAACCAGAAATGACCTAGTAAGTAGAACACTTTTCACCATTGTATTGAAAGCAAAGGGGCAGCTCTTCCAGGCAATTTAGTTTGGTTACTTCTAAATATGCATGAGAAGGAAAACAGAGTCCATACCCACAGTTTTGTTTTCTTCTGGGCAATTTTCATATATATTGATGAATGTCGGGCTGCCTGTCTGCAGAAAAATCATAAAAATAGTCACATAAGCTCTTCTTTATAAACCCCAGATAACGTTATAATGTTCATGCACCAGTTAACCGGGATCCAGGTAACTAAACAAGTCATCTTAACAAAAATAATTTCCCATCTCCTTAAATCATGTTTTGTGCTGATATTGTTCTTTCTACAGGCATCATGTCCGAACATATGCCAACCCCCACAGAGACTGTTAACTAAGCAGTAATGTATCTAAGACTTAGTATACTATGTTTCCATTTATATCATGACTGAAATGTGGTGTGAAAATGACCATAAATTTTAACACTAATTTGTACGTGTTAACCAATAAAGTCGCAATGCTCAACATCAGAAATGTCCTACCTTAAGTGACTAATGTAATTTTAACCCCTGTGTTACTTGTCCTGTCTGGCCTCCAGCTGCAGCTCAAGGCCTGTGGTCTTCTGTAAAACCTGTAGCCTATCCTGTGCAGATGGCACTGCATGGCAGTGTCTGGGCAGCTGAACTGAGCCCTAAATCTTCCTCTTTATTGGTAACGCATTGTTTCACTGTTAATTCTACAGGCATTGGCATAAAGGCGAAACCTTGATATGAAGCAAGATCTGTTTCAGCTGGAGGGCTAATTTTTGTCAGAAGTCACAAACATGACACTTGCGAGGGGGATAGCTTTGATGCTATAAACAGGACTCTGATGATCTCATTTGAAGGGCATGCCGCAGGACCAGAGTAACTCCTTGGCAATAAAATTTGCATTTTCTTTATGAATGTCCCTTGCAGTAAAAAAAAGGCAAAAGGACTACAGACATCACGGTGTGAAAGTGAAATGGTCACCAAGTTGTATGGGCAGCATTAAATGATCATCAGAAATGAAAGGAAATAACAAGAAAGTAACACCCCCCAGAAAAAAGGCAATCTCATTTATGTGATGTGTAGTGAACGAGCGGTGAGAGTGTGCTATACATCTTCAGGGAACCCCTGCTGCGAAGGGGGTTGCAAGGATAACTCCTTGCAACAGTTCTAGGCAGCTTTGAATGCTCACTCAGGCATAGCCAAACCCTCCTTCAGACAACCACTGTGTGTTGGCGTCCCAGAGCTGAGACTAAGATTTAAGTTTACCTCTGGAAAATTCATGGAGCAGCCATACAGCAACACAACCTAGTAGCAGTTGCCACCAGACACAACAAGCACTGGGGAGCAGCAGCTTCTCCTACAGGACCGCCTAGACTCCAACAGGCACGTCTGACCCCGCTGCCTCCAAGTAAAGCGATGGTGCCTGCTTCCCTGCATGTGGGAACGCTGGCATTTCCAAGAGTTAGCACAGCAGGCTTTCAAGTTTGTATAGCTAGTCTGAACTCTGCTGGCTTTACTTCCTGACTGCTTGTTTTCTTATTCCTGACTATCCCAGGCAAGAGCCATGGATATATGTATTTTTGCTGCCCTTGAATGCTGTGGATAATTTAATACAGTCTCTTGATACACTTCAAAGGTAACTAATGTTGTATATACATTACACTACGTAAATGTTGTATGTTCAGGTTGTAAAACATAATGGACAGGATGAAATAGTTATCTGATAGCAAGATCAGGAGCCAAGAAGCCCCAGATTTTGCAGATGTTCTCTTAGAGAAGCCATTTAAACGTTCATTTCCTTCTCACAGCTAACAAGTGAACAAGGGAATATAACAGTCTGCTAAAAGTACTCTAAGGACAAACAAGTTAATATTCAGAAAGTGCTCTGAGGTTCAAATATGTACTAAGCATCATTAAATCGACCCTAAAAAGAAGCCTTTTCCAGGGTAATCAGGACCCAATTCTAATGTTAATAGCATGCTTTACACCACAGTACCACTTAAGTTAGTATTCATTCACATAAGCAGTGAATAGTTATTCCAGAAGATGATGCACTTACCAAACAATACTGCTTTTTGCACTGTACAGGACAATTAGCCCTTTGGTCTGTTTGCACTTTCACTCGCATGTCCAATACTCCACCAGCGGGAGGCTCTTTCCCTGGAATTTCATTGTAATATTCATGATCCTCCCTCTCCTGTAAATTCCCAGATGATCCATCAGTATTCACTGCCTCACTAAAAAAATATGAAAAATAAACTGACTGATGCAATCAACTGCTTTCTAGTGCAGGCAAATGTTCCAAGTGTTTGTGCATCACAGAATACACAGATTAGCCATGCTGGGATTTTAAAGGTTTTTGGGCCATAAACTTTTACGGAGTTTCTTCTTTATTTTTCCAGTTACTTCTTTCTAAATTAAAAATGGAGTCACCCATAGTTCAGGCTGTAGGGAGGCAGAGTCATTTCCTGAGCACTGAACAGTCTGGCTCCCTTTTCTTTGCCTTGAAATTATGAGTGCCGCTTACTGAACTTTTTCTTAAAGAACAGAGCGCCAAAGCATCGTACATTAAGGCATCTACAGTGCAGTCTGTAAAACTAATTCCTCTGGCTTCTTATCTCAACCATATAAATCCAAGGAGAGTGTTTTGTGTGGGACTTAAAAGAGGAAATTAAAACCTCATGTGGCATTTGGCCTGCAACTGTTTAGAAAATCAAATATTGCTACCAAAAAAAATGTAGTTTTCCAGAGTGGAATCTACTCTAATTTTAATATTCATAATCAATATAACTATCCTGTTTCAGCTTGAAGGAAAACTGAATGACACCAAGGATAGTGCACAATGTTTTTCTTGAGCTAAAACAGAATGACGACAGTTTAAATGAACAGCTGATAAACTGCGAAAGAACTAGGTGCTTCCTGTACTGTCTCCGGTCCTGAAATAAAAAGCTCATCTCAAATCTTACTTCTCTGCTTAACAAGAGTATAATTGGATAAAAGGCCTCAAGCAGGAAAGAGATAAAGTTCAAGTAGTTGATTATGTGATACACAGTGCAAGTATTTGATTATATGATTCAGAGTAGTTTGGAAGCGGGTGACTCATTCACACAGCAATACCCGCGTTTTCTGCCCGAGGACCGCTCTGCAGGACGGGCGCACGGAAGGAATCTGATTAGCATCTTCCACTTCTCATTGCTGGGATTTACTCGTGGTACAACCTAGCACAGTCTCCTAGGGGTTCCTCCTCTGGTTACTGTCCTCCAGGAAAACAGACCACTATTAGAAGCAGCATGGCAAAAAACACTATATATAATGAAAGAAATATAAATTGAAGGTGGTACTGCTATTGCGTAACACAGCCCGCTTTGCTGCGCTGTGTTAGGCACCACACTAGCGATAGCGGCCGCCTGCACAGAGGCTCTGACTTTACAGCTTCACCTACTCGTGGGAGATTGCCAGCGATCAAATCGGGCATCTCGGTAAAGAAAGGAATGAACGAGCCTTGAAAAACACGCCTGGCTAACCTGTGAGGAGAGCCAGAAGCCTGGGCAAGAATATTCTGCCCAGTGCAAAGGAAAAAGGGTAACTGAACTGGGGACTCGCAGTCCAAAAATTAATCTAGATGCTATATTTTCATGTGTGCAGAAGACAGAACTTCATATGTCAAAACGCCCAGCGGTGTCTGTGTTTATTTCAGCGTGCAAGTCTGATATAACTCATACCAGGTGGAATTTCAGGCCCCTGCCAGGACATAAGCTGAAGAGCAGAAAGGTAAATTACAATTGCTTTTCTTCCCACCACCCGCTCTCCACAGCTGCGGTGAGCTTAACCTTGGCATGGTTGAGGACTGAGCTCAGTGTGTGTGCGCTTTATTTATAGAGCGGAACTTCTTCACTTCACTTACTCTGCCCTTACTTGGAAGCATTTGTTCCATTTATTTGCATGAATTAAAATAAGGCCGTTTTAGCTAGGGAACAATATAGTTGAATTTTATGTTGTTACGCACCTGTACAGATGTCACTGGAATCAGTGGAATTTACTAGAACAAGCTAATTTTAGTCTATTATATTCTGTTCATGCAGCATATATTTAAATTAGCGTAAGAATAGCATATCGAAAGGAACTTATTTATGGATCACTCTTTACAGCATATACTTTTCCTGAAAAGTAGCAAAGCCAAGCAAACTGCCAGTTAAGCGGCTGAGAACACCATGCTGACCTTTCGTTAGAAGCAACCAGGCTAGATGGATTCTTCAGGTACTGTTTGAACCGCAGCTCGAAAGCTTGCCCTATGGTATTTATTACGTCCTGCGCCATCCCATTGGGACATTCCAGTATGTGGCATGCTGCAAAGAGACACCTTTCTTTAATTAAAGTAAACATGCTTTATACCAGAAGATAGAGAGACAAGCTACGTTGCTTACAACAGCAAAGTTAGGCATGACGTTATGCATTTAAATAGCTTTAGGACATTATACACATTGAGATTTCTGATGTGTTAAGGAAATTGCTCTGGGTATATTTTAGTCATAATATCAACTTTTACCTCTATAAAATAAAACTCTCCATTTATGTTTCCTGCATGGAGCAGCTCCTGTATCTTCTGTTTTCTCCCTGCACAGTGGTAAGCACAGGCACAGGAGAGAACCTGCCCTGCAGGGGTGTGCGATTTTCGTAGGAAACAGCAAGAAAAGTAAGGCAAGTGTGGGCAGGCCCCGCAGCCCAGGGCCGCGCTCCTGCCACCAGTCCTGGCTCTCCTGTGCAACCTCGGGAAACTCGCGCCAGCGGTGAGCACCAAGCGCCCAGGACCGGCTCTCCCCTCCACAGAGCTGTCATGCAATACCGCAGGTTTTGTCTCACTTGTAAATTCTCAGTGTTGCATGGAAAGTGTGAAGTTTAAAGCCACAGTCTGCATGCTATCACCTGTTTCTGTACAGTGAAATTAGAAATCGTATGAAATATTGAACTATTCAACATCCCATTACATATACATATTACATACTGATGCAATATCTTGGTACAGATAAAGTGATCATATAAATATGTATAACAATTGAAAACTGTTTCCATACCTCTCTGATTGACAGGATCTTTTGCTACATATGCAACGTAGTCTGTTGTATCCTTTAGGAAAGAAAGAGACAAACATCTTTAAAATTATTATTACCAGCCACACTGCCAACGTAACAAAGTGACTGAGTAGAGAGATAAACATTTTTAGGCTGTAAAACGCATACTTTTTTCAGGAAAAAGAACTGGAGTTGCTGGCAAAGCGGACCAAGGGAAGGACCAACACCACTCGTGTGGATATGGATGCAGTAATTGTGCAGGAACAGTTTTCTTGTAACAAATGCAAGAGATTGTTTTGCATTATGTTTTCAATAAACAGTTTTGAGTTCCAAACTCTGTAACAGGAGCAAAAAGACAACCAGTGGCTCATCAGCAGACAGTGCTACTCTCTTCTGGTGCTTTCTCAAGGCTTACGTTCTCCCCTGCATGATGCTCCAGGACTCAGTGACCTCCAGGCACGTCGCTTCGCTGGGACGCTTCTTATCGGTGTCAGTGGAAGATAAAATAGTGCCAAAATACTGCAAGGAGCAAGTTAGAAATCTCCCAATTTTTCCTATGAAAGTTGGCTTTTAAGGGCATCATAGGGAAAACATGATCTTTAAAATATCACATAATACAATTGGTATCTGATCTCCATCATGACTGCCTGATTTTAGCCCGGCTAACATCAAGTTAAATTCCTTTGGACTTCAAGGCTGCTGAGATCAGACAACCTCAGCATAATCAGTTGTCTGTTTCAGATTCGCTTTCCAGGCAACATTAAAATAATAATCACTTTTTCTAGTGAAACTGAAAAGGGAACTGGAATAGAAAAATTAACATTTTTAGTCACATTGCAAAAGCAAAGAGCCACTTGATAATTCAGTGTTATAGTAAAAATGATGAGGTAATGAATAACATTATTTTAATAATTAAAGATGCATTTTGTTATTTTGGATCTTTAAGGCACGATGGGGAAAATGCAATTCGCTGCTTAGAGGCATGGCTCTCTTGAGGGAAGATGCAATCAGCTGGCAGGAAACAAAGGCCCCCATTTGCAATACGCACAAGAACAATCATTTAATAATTCACAATGAATGACAGAAGAAGCAGATCTTGGGGTCAGCAGAACTTGTCCTAGTCTTCTTTTTTTTTTTAAACTCTCTGAAGTTAATATCATTAAAACAAAGAAAACTAAATATTTCTTATGCATTTAGTGAACTTAATTTCCTTCCTTTTCCTCTCAGGTTTTTCTTAAAGCTCATAAATATTTTAGAATACATTTTTAAATGAATAAATGAATTAGATCTAGAGAGCAACGAGAGAAGTACAACAACTGGAGCCATGCCCACTTTTTTCTTTTTTCTAATATCTTTACAATGTTTAAGTACATGCATGGATGACTTTGCTCTAAAGTAAGGCCACCTCCAGAGCAGAATATTGCCATTCCTGAATAGCACAGAGTGATACTGAGCTGTGTTCAGCCCCTGATGTAGGGTTAAGCATGCAATTGCACATGGGGACAAGCAGAGAGACACATCCTATGGAAAGTATATCCTATTTTAACTGTAAAGAGAATTTTGGAAATATAACCTGAACAAGCCACCAGAACTCCCCCACATATGAAGTACTGCCAGATTTCTAGTCACCAACCATGATCGAGACCTCTGTTTTACATAATTTCCCAGTAATGTTGGTTCACAGCACAGAGCAGCCATGCTGGGGCTTTTCTTAGGTTCTCCCTGAGAGCAGAATATTAAGTATTAAAGATGTATTTAAATTGTTCAACTGTCAAGAAAATTGGAATTTTCTCTTTGAGTAAAGAGCACAGAAAATTAATATCTGAAAACATTTCTGGAAGGCAAAGGATACATATGCTACAACAAGATAAGGTAATTTATGTTAAGATTCAGACTGGACTTCAGTTAGCTGCAAAAAAAGAAACAATGAGCCTAAGAAAAAAGTGAATCCAACTTTATATAGGGGTTAAAGTTTAGATCTTACCATGAGAACTATTTCTATAGTTAGAAAAATAGCAAAGGATCCTCCCTGCATGCACTTAACAAGAGAAAAGCAAAAGGGAAGAGTTAATAAGAATATTATTGTACCACATCAGTGGCGCACACAGAATTTTAGCAACGAGAATTTTTGCTCTGACCAAAGTTTACTCAATTCCACCTCTAAAGGAAGGGACACAGGTAAGCTTAAGTCAAGGGGACCTTGGTTAAGCCAGTTCCTCGTATTACATAGAGCAACATCAAGCTTAGCAGCATGAGGCAGAAAGAAAAAGCAGCTTTGTGATGCTCAGCACAGCAGTGCACCAGCCTTTGGCGGCTACCTAGAAAACCACATCCCGAAAGGTCTGCAAAGCCCAGGGACCGTACTGTGCAGCGCGGCGTATTAGGATAGCACAGGTCTCTAAGGGTAAAGTTTGGATTAGAACCTCAAAACGCCTTAGTCATTAAACGGGATCTTCAGGGATCTAGTACTGAGGGACTGCGTTCTTGCAAGACCTCCCAGCTGGGTGCCGGGCGAACAGCGGGCAGCCTGCGCCCATCCCATTCTGGCTCCGCAGAGCTCCTGTTTGCAGGCACCTTGGGAAAGATCTCACCGAGCAGCTGGGCTGGCCCACATCAGCTGCAGGGCCCGCCAGGGAAAGCCACTCAACCACTTAGGGCCAGTTCCCAGCTAGTTTCCCCTGCCTGGTCGGTTTGCTAAATCCAAAGAGGCAGATTGGTCATTTTTCAGTTGAAGCTAGACCTGGCTTCCACCCCAATGTTATCAGGAACATGACCCAGAGCCTTCTATTTTCCTTGTTTCATAACAGAAGAACAAGGAGACATTTAACAAAACTAAAGGGCAGAAAATTCAAAACTGATAAGGAAAAAAAAAGGCAGGGCTGGGAACGTGCTTAGATTCAAAGAGGGGACAGGACAGGGTTATGGATGACAAATTCCCCACTTGTAGTCACCTCAAAAAAGAGTTTGGGAGAGGAGAGAAAACCTCTCACATGATAATGTCGCCCAGTTTATGACTATGATTCTAGAAGAAAAACCATATCCACAGAAAAAAGGGATTATGCCACGTCTGTTTCATAGGGGCTTTATCTGTTTGCCTTGAAATTCCTCTAAAATCTGGAGGTGCTGGTGCTGACCCCTTCTGTGATAAGGTACTGGACTGCAGGGGGCACAGACTCGACATAATTCCTATGTTTGTGTTCTTATTTTTAGTATTCCAAGTCAGGGGGATCTGGAGTGAACTGCGGCTCAGGGACAGATGATGGGAAAGGTACATATACGTGTCTAGCATAAAGATCCATTGAGTCTCTACTCTCAGTCTCCTTTCCAGCCCCAGTCCCTCAGTTTCCTTGTACTCTTGTCCTGATCCAGAACTGTGGTGTACCGTTAGTGCTTGCAGACAGGAAGGGATGAAGTAAAGTATTTGCAGGTGCTTTTTTTCCTCATAATAATTTCATTATACCTACAAAAGTGTATCTGATAAATCAATACTTACTGGGTCACCTCCAGAAGCAAATGAGATGGACTGCATGTGATGATTGGCAATAATCTGAAAAGCATGACAAACTAGTTAAATGTGCTCACATGCCATACATTTAGAAAACAGCAGAACACATAACTTAATGGAGCAAGCAATCAAGTTCATGACAACCCAATCCATTAATACATGCACATACCATTTGTGAAGGAAGAAGCTAGTGGTGGGACTATTTTTCAAGAATACATATTCATGTTTAGTAATATCTAGATTCCTGAGTAATCTTCCTTGAAGGGTTTCCAGAATGAATGCAGCCACCAACTTATAACCTGGTCAGTATGAAGCTACATGACACTTTGATAGAAGAGTAACTGGAGACAGCTGATACATTTACAAATTCTTGATAAATTAATTTAGTTGAAGATGACCAGAAGTTTATTTAAATGCACAGCTTGTATGATGATGAAGTTTTTATGAACATGCCCCAGTGACACTCCGATCATGTTCTCTCCCAGCACTAGCACTAAACTACTGCCCGTTACAGATTTCTCCAGCCAGATCAAGCATCAGCTTTCCTTAGTTTCACACATTACCTCATCTCTGGAGACAAACTGTTCTTTATTATAAAAATAAACTGCAACAGATTATGCAAGTGGGAACACATGAAATGTGGTGGCAGTGCAAGAGTGGAATAAACAGGATTTTCAATTTGCAAAGATCTAGTAAGTAAAGACCTGAACCCCCACGTGGGCACGTTAGTGCATTGGGAAGCAGATTTGTCCAGCTGGCTTTCAATCCTGTTACAAACACACGCAGTTTAGGAAGGCCATACTTCAGTTGTAGACCCCTGGGGTTTTGCCTGGGGTAGGGAAGCTCTTGGGTGCTGCACCCGAGAGGGAGGGCCACCGGCGTGCCATCACCCATTACCCCACTGCGCCACGGGGGAATCCCAAGAGCTGCCGGCATTGGGCAGCCTTGCACCAGCATCAGTGCAGTGATTCCTTCAAACCAGTGAGTCAAAACCACCTCCCTGATGTTCCCCTGCTCCAACAAGGAGTAAAGCCAGCGCTGTCCCTGGGTGACATAATGCTCTGAGCTGAAGCCAAGAGTGGAAGGAAGAACTAGGTGGGCAGCATGAAGCTGCCTTTTCCCATCTGCTGGGAAGGGAGCACCTCCCGATCTAGGGCAGACCCCAGCTTGCAGGAGCACGCCTCGAGGAACCTGGAGAATTTGCATAGTATAATTGATTATGCACATATATTACCCAGCCGTGAGATAGCTTTGAATGCTGCCAAAACCGAGCTCTGACTCATTATTTATATCTCCTTTTTTTTTTTTTTTTTAAATAAGGACTTGTTAGAAACTCCAGTCAGGACTAGAGCCTTGTTATTAGGCACTGTACAAACAGACACACACATAGAGAAACAGTTTGCCAAGTGCTTAGAGATCCTTCCACATGAAAGACACTATTATAAATAAAAGTGGCATATGCCACGTGTCGAATTCCTCCAAAGTGCTCTCATTTTTAGATCCAGAGGCACCAATGCAATTCAGCTTTACCAAGACTAAATGGTGCCGCTTTCCATTTAAAGTGCTGCAAAAGGAGGTGAATACAATGGCATGGAGAAAAGGACACTGGCTTATATGTATCCTACCTGCTGCGTGTCAACATTCACCAAAGTGAGGCTGCTTGTTGAAATGGTCAGCTTTATATTCATGCCAGAAAACTGAAGGTTACTTTTGCCAAGCACAGAAGACAGGAACTTAACTGGAGGCTTTGAACAGAGAAACAAAAGAAAAAGACCGTCAGCCGAGTTTTTCAGGGGCAGAAGCACATCAAAGTCAAGTAGATTTTACAATATCTGACTGAGAATTTTAATGGATTAAAGATAAGGACTTGATAAAATGCAAATAGATCTTATAGCAAATATCAGCTTTAAATACAATACTTGAATGCATGGTTTTTATGTCGATAATGGAAAAAAGAATTTTAAAAAAGCAAAAGTGCAATGAGTTAAATGTTGTAGCTGGCTGAATAATTGAGAACGTGTCGTTTTCCCACTGAACTCTGCTTTGTTTCTGAGGATAAAGTGTTTGTCTCATGTATTCATTTTTCAGGAACATGTTCAGTGAGAGTCAGTCTTCCTGCACTCCACAGTTACTGACGGAAATCAATAACTTCCACCGAACGCTACCCAACAGAAGCTACTTACATTGCCCCTCGCTGCGTGCCGGTTAGTAAATAAATGATAAACCCATTAAACACTGCCATTCTAGTTTTAATTTTTGGGGGGGCCTAAATAACAATCAGGTAATCCTCCAGTGAACGAGCTCCATTTTGCAGTCAAAAAAACTCCTACATTTCACCATCCAGAACCTAAACATCGTAAAGCTTTGAGCACTGACAAGGCTGGTGGGAACAGGAGCACTGGCCAGAGCATTAACCCTTAAGAACAAGGTATAGCATTGCCAGAGCCCCCAAAACAGAGCAGTCCAAACAGCCTGCTACAAACACTCCTGTGTGTTACGTGAAGTTCAGATGAATGAACATACGCTAACTCCAGCACGGACTTAGTCCTGTTTGGGAATCACATCTCTAGTTTATCAAAAGCAGATAAAACACGGTAAGTGTTCAGCCAGAACAATATTTACCTTTCGCTTTTTTATAGCTCCATTTGTACCTGATACAGCTTCACACAGGCGGCTTATTGCTTCCCTACAAATAGAAAAATACAGCACAAACCGTTGGATCATTTAACATGCATCAGCTGTAACAGGGTCAGCAACCTTGTGATTAATTGTTACAATCCCACTTAAAAACACTTAAATCTTCTGGAAGGTCTTTCAGGATTTTTTTTTCCTCCCAGTGTTTAAAAAAAAAAAAACACACTTAATGAAACACAGTGATTCAGCAATCTGTTTTGGGTTGATTCTTTCCCTTCATAGAAGGTATCAGTTTCACCTAATGGAAATTTCTTTTTAAAAAAAAACAAAAATCAACTAACTGCAAGAAATGAAAAGGACCTCATGCCTTCAAAGCCTCTTCTGTGGTAAGGTTGACAGGCCTCCTGCCTGGCAGATAGGAGCCTTCACCTGCCTTGGTCGGTCTTATTTAGAGCATCGTGGATCTGCTGAGTGAGTCCAGCTGGGTGCCCTTATTGGCTGGTCTGGTGTTTTAGGTTTCTCTTAAGAACAGAAAGAAAGGAAAAGAAACATCTCATGACCATTCTGCATTTTAGCAAAAATCTTCCGCTCTTCTCTCACAGGGAGACAGATCCCTGTTTTGCAGCCTCAGCCGCCGTGGAGTTGCGCAGTGAAGGTCCCCCAGCCCTGTGGTCCCACCTCGCCAGGTGCGGTGGCTACTCCAGCGTCTGGCACCTGGGCTGGCCAGGCTACAGGATGTTTTCTTGTCAAGCAAAGTGCGACACTCTCAGCCAAAGCCCTGCTTAGGCTCTGCCCCTCTTACACGTGTGCTGATAAAAATGCTTCAATTGTTGCTGTTAGCAATTCTGCACCCCTCATGGCAGGAATTTTTTTTCTGTGAATTTAACACAAACCTTTCTCATTTTAAGTTTAAGGTGTATAGCCCGCTCAAGTGAAAGCTGGGTTTCAAAGCTTCTTCTCTTAGAATGTGCGGGGGTTTGTTGTGATGCTTGGTAAAGATAAAGCTCAGGAGAGAAATTCAGAGGAACGGCCTACTTCTGCTTCTCACGTTCTTTTTCAGATCTGGGGTTTCAGCTCATATCTGTTCCATCTCTAGCAGGTATTTCCCAAATTAAAAGTCGTTTCCTGACTGTCAAGGTGCTTCTCAGTTAAGAAAGCAGAAGTGTAAGGCATAAATCACTCACAGGGTTTATTGGCTTATATCCGACAGCTAAATTACACACTTAATATAACCAAGTTGCATGCTGCATCTATTTTCCATACTTCAACAAAGGAAATTCTGATATATGATCAGTCACGGTATTGGTTTTGAGATACAGTGTAGCACTCAACTATACTGATCAAAGTTGGCAGAGCTATTGGAAGAAAGTATTTTGTTGGCAGTCACAGACTGTTCGCTTACTGATACTTTTTGTGTTATTCTAAAAATGGAGACTTACTAGCTTGGGATGTGCTTAGGAAATTTCCTTAACCTTTCTTAGACGTCCTGGTGCTACGGAGACGCCAGCAGTGCTGCAGCCTCCCGTACGTTCCAGAATCAATGGGGTACCCTTATCTTCATAAACCAGCAAGCGGAGATGCTAGCGGGGTAGGTTTTCCATGCATAAGAGCCTGGTCATCCTCTAATAATTTCCTGGGGAGTTAGGAATGCAAGACACATTGCAAAAGGCACAAAAACACCTTGCAGGGCTGGACACACAGAACCTGACCTCTCCAGCTGCCAGGGCTCTCTGTCATGGGGCTCGCAGGGAACAGACGCCCTCGTCCCAGAGTGCTTTCAACTACGTTTGCCTTTTGGAGCCTTTTCTTTTTATCTGAGCAAGCACTGAAGCTCAATGCTACAGTGCTGTCGGACTCAGAGGAAGGAAGCACATGGCTGGCTGAATTTATACGTTCTCATTTCTGCCAAATCAGCCCAGGGCAGTTGTGACTTTCTGTGCAGTTTGCTCCCAAAGTGAAGCCTGTTTCCTCGAGAAACTTTCTGAAAATGCAATTGGTGTCTCAGGGCCACGTTTCTAAACTTCAATCCATAATTTCAGAGCTATCAGGTAAAAATCAGGCATAAATTCAGTCTTTACATACGTATATGCTGTTCACATGTTAAAGCCTTTTCTTGTTGGTTCAAGGTGAGTTTGCACTAGTCAATGCTGCAGTTTGCCTGATAAGGATTTGAAAGCACTTTCCTTTTTGAAACCTTCATAACGTGTTCACAGAAAAAGAACTAGGCAAGACCAGGATGTTTTGAGCTGAGGTGTAAAGAAAATTATGCTGAATAGTGATGGCAGAGAACTCCACAAGGTGGTCACAAACAGAGCCCTGTTGATAAATGTGTCACTGCAAACCACTGGAAAGAAAATCTAAAGCAGATTTCCTTGTATCGCTCTCTCATCACTGCTGTGCACTACCCAGCCTCGTTAGAAGCACTGATCTCAAACAAGTTCCTTGATAGAAACAGAAAAAGCAGATTCCTCCCTCCCAAATCTGCCACAAAACACAGCTAGGCCAAAACACATGTATACAGTTTCTGAAACTATCCTAAACCTGAATTCCCATCTCCACATTCATCTTCCACAACAACTTGAGCTACGTAACCTTGTTACAGCTCATTTTATGTTTCCTTAAGCCATCTTTTGAATGGCACAAATGTACTACCACAAGATATTGCAGGTCCACGCACAGACTTCGTGCAGGAGTAAGGAAGCATGATGGATGTCATGGATACAGTACGGGATTAAGATCAAAAACACAATTTCCATTCTATGTGTCTCCCTGTGCGCTCTGTATGATCATGGAAAAAACACTTCTCAATGTCTCAGCTTTTCTATCTGTGACATAAAAGTAAACACTTTAGAGGATTCTTTTATGATATACTGACAAAAAAGACTACTTTTGCTTTTAGCTTTGCTTTGCTAGATCTAGGTAATTCTGAAGCAGGGACATTGGGTCAGGCATGTATGTAGACCATATTGTTCTTCAGGACCAAAGGCATAATACATTTCCTCTTCTCCAGGCCTCTTTAGGTTACACTGTGTTCATGCTCCTTTTCCCTGATGATCTAGTTAACCAACAGCAAAAGAGCTTCAGCTTTAGGACCTCTCAATTCTGTCTTTTTGCAAGCACCTATTTTAGTAGACCATCATTCCAACAGAAAGAAACTGCTCTCACATGTTAATTCATAAATATTCTTCTCTAATAAATGAAGGAAGTGCGGTCATTCAGTAATTTGTTCTTTAAGGTGACTCCTGGCTTTTGCTTTAGTGTATTTAACTTCAGCTAGGCTCTGGCAGTCAGGAAGTTAGGGGCGGTTCACAGTTAATATTAAATGGCACGGCTGAATGTGATTTTGCTCATTCCCGACACCATTCCTCAAATGAAAATCAGTTTAGAAAATCTATCAGGCCATTTCCCTTCATCCTCCTTGGTCTGTCCCTGCCTTTTCTGAGCTTCATCTGGAATATGACCAGCATTGCTCAAATCTGGGAGCCGAAGACATCCCAAAACAAGGGAACGCCGAACCGGCCCTGACAAGCGTATGTTTGAGTCAACCACTGAAAGGCTGGAAACATCTTCGAATTTAAAGATATCGAGAAGTCCAAACGATACCATGTTACGGTAGAGTGAAACTATGCCATAAACTGCTGTTCTACGCAAATCAGGTCTCAGAAATCAGTGCCCCACTCTAGGTTCCCATTGTCGATCAGTCCTTCCTTCCTGCACAGACATTGCACCTGTATTGTTCTTCATACTAGCATTATTTACAAATCACCATTACTGTGTAAAGGATTCTTTTCTACTTTGCTAGTTCTGCTTAGAAAAACATTTCAGACTTTGATTCCCATATTGGGCAATTTTATTCTGAAACGGCAGCCTCAGCCTTTATCTCACAGCAAGCCTGAGCTGGATTCAGATTTGGGCTTTCAAGGGTTTGGATTTTGTTTTATTCTTAAGAGAAAGGGAATTTGTTTGTTTGTTTATTAATTTAATGTAATTATTATCCAAATAGTTAATTAGGAAACAAATGAGTTAGGAAAAATTTGTCTGCTTTCAAATGCATGCATGTGCATGGGAGGGACGCACTGCCGGGTTTTATTTCCTGAGAAAGTTTTGTTTCGAAGGGGCTAAAAAATCAAGAGACTAAACAATGAGAAGAGGCCCTGGGATCCAGTCTCCAGGTCAGACCTCACCTAACAGAGGTGCCTCGGTGAGGAGCGTGGACGTGCGAGGCTCCAGTGTTGCCGCTGGGAGCAGACCGGGGGGCGAACCTTTGGCCAGCGGCACTGCAGAGCCACAGGAGGGCAAAGGGGCCGGCGCCACTGCTGGGTCCTTGTTCGTACCCCACTCATGTTGCTGGGCTCATTCACTATGTGCTTAAAACACTAAAGAGCCCTAATACTAAATTGAATCTTCCTATTAAGAGAGAAACCTGAGAAATTAAACCTGGAGACTGTCAAATGAATGAGGATCTCAGCAACAGTAAAATAATGGAAATGTAATTAAGATATTCTGAATAAAAACAGCAGACAGGAAGAGGAGCATCACTGCGGGCTATACAAGATGGGTCAGAGGCAGTTTAGAAACATACAGTACTTCAGCCTTGTAAAGCAAAACCCTTCTCCCCACACAACTGGAAATACACTTTTCAAGTCAATTAATTCATTCTGGAAATTCTTCTTGTTTTGCTCTTGTTTTATTTAGGTGTTACCAATAGAAGGGCCAAAACTAAAAAAACATGAGAATAGGCATTCAGAAGGATGATCTTACAGATTGCAAAAATCAGCCTGGAGAGCTCATCTCATTCAATATTAAAGGAAACTAAAATCAGACACAGGACACAAAGGCTACCTACAGCTTTCAAGTCCAGCTCTACCTAGAACGAAAAACAAATACCGAACAAACTGGAAAAACAAGGAAATCTTCTATATTGGTGACAAATGAGTTATTTCACACTTCAAGCAACCTATATGAAATAGATGATTCTTAGAAGAGCAAAACTATCAGCAAAAGATCCCATTCTTGTACTAGAGAGTGTTGCGACTGTCCACTTAACCACAC